TCTAAAAATAAGTCGAGCCTGGGTGCAGTGGTTCACACCTGTAATCCCTATACTTTGGGGGGCCTACGCGGGTGGATTGCTTGAGCCCAGGAGTTTGAGACCAGCCTGAGAAACACAGCGAAACCCCATCTCTACAAAAACTACACAAATTAGCTGGGTGTGATGATGTGCACTTGTAGTCCCAGCTACTTGGGAGGCTGAGATGGGAGGATCACTTGAGCCCGGGAGGTGGAGGCTGCAGTGAGCCATGAATGCACCACTGCACTCCAACCTGGGCGACAGAGCAAGGCCCTGTCTCAAATAATAACTAATAATAGTACTAAAATAAAATAAAAACAAGTCTAAGAGAGCATTTATTATATGATTCAACTCATGTGAAATGTCCCGGGCAGGCGACGTCTATAGGGACAGAAAGTAGATGAGTTGCCTAGGGCTGGGGAAGGAGCGAGGAGGGGAGATAGAGACAACAGCTAAAGGGTACGGGTTTCTTTTTTTTTTTTTTTTTTTGAGACAGAGTCTCGCTCTGTCGCCCAGGCTGGAGTGTAGTGGTGTGATCTCAGTTCACTGCAACCTCCACCTCCTGGGTTCAAGGGATTCTCCTGCCTCGGCCTCCCGAGTAGCTGGGATTACAGGTGCACCACCACACCCAGCTAATTTTTGTGTTTTTTAGTAGTGACGGGGTTTCACCATGTTGGTCAGGCTGGTCGCGAACTCCTAACCTCAGGGATCCACCCGCCGTGGCCTCCCAAAGTGCTGGGATTACAGGCGTGAGCCACTGCGCCCGGCCCTGGCCCTAGGTTTCTTTTCGTGGTGATGAAAATGTGAAATTGACTGCAGCAGTGGCTGCATGTATCTGTGAATAGACTGAAAACCGCTGGATTCTACACTTGCAATGGTGAACTGTGTGATACAGGAACTATATCCCAATAGGGCTGTTTAAAAACTGGAAGGCAAAGGAAACATCCTCAGAAGGCCGTGGTGTGGAGGACACAGGTACCCTGGGCACAGGCAGCGGCACACAGCGGCTCTGGATGGAGAGGGTGTCTCCCTCACGTTGTCCCTTCTCATTGGCAGATGGACTGGGAGAGTCACAGGGAAAACAGTGGCAAGAAAACATAAGGAAGATGTGGGTACTGATTACCCAAGCACCACCTCGAGATTTCCTCCTGTGCCTGTGAATGGAATGTTCTTCTTCTGTCCTACATATCCAAGTGAGAGAACCAACCTTCGGCTTCCCGGCCTGGGGACTGCAGACACTCAGACAGCCTCTCGCTCTCCCCAGCCTCTGTCCCTGGGGGATCGTGGAGTTACTGCGATCATAGTGGCTCTCACGCTATTTCAGGATCATTTCCCTTCTCTCCTACCAGGCTGGGAGCTCCAGAAGGGCAGGTTGTAGGGTTTCGGGACTTTCCAACCCCCAATTATCACATCATTGGGCGGGAATGAGGCTCGCAACAGACCTCACAGGCAAAGACTTCCCAGTGATGGCCCCAGAGGAAACACTTCCCCATCATACGCCCAGCCTGGAACCCCTGAACGTCATTAGGGATGGGGCATAAGGGAAGGCACAGAAGAGGCTTACTGTAAAGGGGGAAAAAAAAGAATCTAAAAATCCTAGAGGCGGCCGGGCGTGGTGGCTCAAGCCTGTAATCCCAGCACTTTGGGAGGCCGAGACGGGCGGATCACGAGGTCAGGAGATCGAGACCATCCTGGCTAACACGGTGAAACCCCGTCTCTACTAAAAAATACAAAAAACTAGCCGGGTGAGGTGGCGGGCGCCTGTAGTCCCAGCTACTTGGGAGGCTGAGGCAGGAGAATGGCGTAAACCCGGGAGGCGGAGCTTGCAGTGAGCTGAGATCTGGCCACTGCACTCCAGCCCGGGCAACAGAGTGAGACTCTGTCTCAAAAAACAAAAACAAAAAAAACAAACAAAAAAAAATCCTAGAGGCTGCAGGAAAAATTGTGCAGACCCTCAAGGAGATGGACTAGTGTCTCATCTTTCTATCCCCTGGTTTAAAAAAAAAAAAAATGCTTTGTCTGAGATGCTGCAGACTCTACATCATCCAGGAAAACCCCTGCACGACAACAGCTCAGACATAGTCGAGAGGAATCACGTTCTTCCTCTAGATTGCTGGTCGAGGCTTGCAGTCACAGCCAGATGCAACTTCAGAGCGGGCGTCTGTGAGTCAAGATTCAAGGGCAGAGCCGTGTTGGGGGAATGATGTCTCTTTAAGCACTGGCAGCAGGACAGGGCGCTGCAGCGGCTCCAAACACTCTCTCCTGCTCCTCCAGGCCTGCACCACCTGCCCTGGTCACCCCTCCTGCTGCCCCAAAGACGCCTTGGGTTTTCGGGGACTGGCTGCATCTCACAGGACTGCTCTTAACATAGATAAAAACCCAACCTCCGGTGCAAGAGGAAAAATCAGCTGGTGTCCACGTAAGAGCCAAAAGAACAAGGATTCTCTGCTCTGTGGGGTGATCCTGTTTTAGCAGCCAAGCCCCGGGCGGCCCCAACCTGCATCTGCACAGCCATGCTGGAGGCCACACACGTGACTCTTTTGGGGATCCGAGTTCATTTTCTTGGACTCTGTATTCCAGGTGGGAAACTGACAAGAATGGCTTCCCCTGAAGGGTTCCTAGGATTCTGCCCAATACACTGATTCAACGAATCCCCAGATCGCAGGGAGTGTGAGATGATTTCTGCCGCAGCTGTGCAGCCGAGGCCGTGGGCTCCCTCCGGTTCACTCACCAATAAGCATCGACTCCCTCTGGTATTCCTGAGTGAGGTGGGAGCGCTGGGTCACACAGTACACGTATCTCTCCAGGACATACCAGCACATCTCATAGTAGAAGGGGTAACGGAATTTGGGCTGCACCTGAAAACAAAGACGCAGGCAGGCAGAGGTCAGTTTCCAGAGGGCGCAGGGGGAAGGAGGGAGAGAAGTGCGGGGCAGGCTCCCTGCGGGTGAGGGTCACTGTCGTCATCTTAGGGAGAGCATGGATGGTGGGGGGAGAAATGGTGGGGAGCTGGAAGCGGGATGCCGGCAGCATGCACAAATGAGGCGGAGGACAAGGCCCGCATGAGCGCCTCATCTCAAAGGTCCCTGAGCTGCACGCCCCGGAGGTTGGATGGGGGCCACTTGGTGCTCCTGCGAGATGCAGAAAAACAGAATTCTCCCCTGAGCTGCCTGCAGAGAGTGTGGGCAACTGCAGGTGGGAGCCGCTGCCTGATCCTAGCTACTACAGACATAGGTTCCTACTTGTTTCTGAAAATTCCTGCACAGATTCTGCTGTTCCTCCCTCCCGCTTAAAAACCAGAAATCAACTCCCAAGCCTTACCCATTTGCAGACAGGTTATGGAGCCTCCTCCTGCTCTTTGGGAGGGAGGCCAGGCCAGTGGACCAATGAGAGTGAGGGGGTGTGGCCTCGCCTACCTCCAGGGGTGGGGCCTTGCAGGGGTCCACCTCCTGCTCCTCCCCACACCCACCTGGCACTGCCCAGCCTGCAGGGCCACAAGGGCTCCCTCAGACACAGGACCCAGGTATGACCTGAGACCATCGTGATGCTGAGCTGAGGGAGACACATCAGGTCTGGAGCAGGAGATTCCTTTTGTCTCACCTCCCTTTTATAAAAATAGCGAGGGTCTCACTCTGTCACCCAGGCTGGAGTGCAGTGGCACGATCATGGCTCACTCAGCCTCGACCTCCTGGGCTCAAGCGACCCTCCTGCCTCAGCCCTGTGAGTAGCTGGGACTGCAGGCGCGCACCACCACGCCTGGCTGGGGTTTTTTGTATTTTTTGCAGAGATGGGGTTTACCATGTTGCTGGCTGGTTGTTTATCATAGAAGAGGAAGTAAAGGTGGAGACAGCTTTGTGTACTAGAACTGTCAAAAGGCCTGAGCCCCGGGAGATTCCACAGGGGGCAGTTCAGGGTCCGTACAGGTGAGATGTCACTGAAAGATGGGAAGGAAGTAATGTCACTGATGGCCCCAACACAAGGATGGAACGAGGTCCCTGGCACCCATACGGGGCCTCTCCTGCAGAGGCCACACGACGGTCTCACACGCCCACACTCACACCTTGCTCCCTGGCTCTCTTGTCAAGGGGGAGAGCTAGAGAGCCGTCCTTCCCTCCCTGATCTTATGCAAACTCAGGGAGTTGGATGGTGAACAATAACCGTCTCCCACTTTCTAGTCACATTGCCCTGCCCCTAATATCTTCACTCCTCTAATCTCTCTCTCCCATCCCCTCATTCACACTCTCCTAACCCCCAATCACACTCTCCACCCTCTCTAATCACACTCCCCAACCCCCTAATCACACTCTCCCACTGTCCCCAAATCATACTTCCCAACCCCTAATTACACTCCCCAACCCCTATTCACACTCCCC